CATAAAAAGTGTATGAATAACTTTTTATTCATATAAATCTTTGATTGTATTAAAAACTCTTTATAGATGAAAGATATGGATTCTTTTTATGATGTTATATTTCCTAACTTTCTCTTTATCTATAATTATGCTTATACTATTTTTAACATAAGTTTTGCACTTGCATATATTCAAATCAATGTTTCCCCTTATGTTTTTTTTTGTTTATTTTGTTTTTCTGTTTAAATGACTTTAAAGTTTTGCCCAGTATTTGTGTTTTTTTTTTTTTATAAACAGTTACATACATGTTTACCTATCATGTCTTTAGTATTAGCATCATAATATTTGTCACCTTAATTTTACTCTAAGGAATAATATGAAGCTATATTCTACCTTTCTTACTTCTCAAATGGTTATTTAACAATTCTATTGCATTTTATATCTCATACTCTGACTCACTGAGTAGAAATTACAACTTTGAGTTGCAAACCATACTAGAATATGTTTCTGATTTTCATTCTATTACATTCTTATCTGTCTTTTACTGTGCTCATTATGACTCTATCTGCTCTAATACTTTGAAAATCTCTTCTTAATTTTCTTTTTAATTTAAACTTTCAAATACACATATTTTGTATATATATAGGTGTGTATACACACACATATTTTTTTTTTTTTTTTGGTACGGGGGATTGAACCCAGGAGTGCTTTACCACTGACCCATGTCCTTAGTCCATTTTATTTTATTTTATTTTGAGACAGGGTCTCACTAAGTTGCCAAGACTGGCCTTACCTTGTGATCCTCCTGCCTTAGACCTCTGAGTCATTGGGATTACAGGTTTGTGACACCTGTAATTTTTATTTTTATTTTTAATTTATAGCTTTCTGACTATTTTATAAAATAATAAATTAATTCAAGTGAACCTTATAAACATTTTGTCATGTTTGTCATCCAAGGAAAAAAATACTATAAATCACCTAATTTTGCTTTACATTAAAAGATCCAATTTGGAAAGAACCACTTTTTTTATGGATATTGAGTCTTATAGTAATGGACAAGGAACATATCCTAGTTTATTCAAATATGTTTTTAGGTCTTTAATTAAAATTGGTATTTTGAACTATGGATCTCACACATTTCTTGTTGAGTTTAAAATTGTCATTTTCATTTTTAGTTGTGGGCATCAAGAAACAAACCATTGTTCTTTATATTGTCTTAATGGCTACTGTTGATGCTTAGGAAAAACATTATTTTTTTCACGTGTGCTTTATACTGAGTTTCTAAATTTTATTATTCTTATTGATGGTTATCCAGTTGATTCTTTTGGGCTTTCAGGGAAACAATATTATCAATTGAAAATAACATGCTTTACAGAAATGCTGCATTTGAGTGTCTTGTTCTGATATTAATAGCTCTAGTGTTTCACAGTAAGCCTGATGTTGGTATTTGCTAGATGCCGGAGCCTGGCTGCAGCAAAATAACCGGGGGGTGGCGAACGACTTGTGTAGATTGATACAGCAGGAGGGGGAGCCCTTTATTGCAGGACAGGAGCAGTATTTATACATTCCACACAGCTTATCTAATTAGCATAAACTAGATACATCAGTCAACCAATAAGGAATCTCCACACTTAATGGCTCCCTTTTGTTACTTCTCAAACCACTCCCTCTGGCATTTTGCCAGGCACCATCCAGACTTGTTTATGAACTCTAACATTCCCCTGGCAAAATGCCAGGTGTTATTTTGACTTGTTTACAGACTCTAACAGCTAGACAGATAGATAATCAAATTTACCTGTGTATATGACTCAGAGAGGCTGTGCAGCTGCCGTTTTTGAACTATCTTTTCACTGTTTCTTACCATTGCCTTCTTCAACAGAGACTGTCTTGACCTTACTTCTTTGCATGTGAAATATGTGTTTTAACATATTCTCCTGTCCTGCTAAGACCATAACATTTTATCCCTTAAACCTTTAAGTTCCACTGAGAATTTTCCAATAAGCTGTCAAACTTCAAGTCACTCATCTATCTTTTTTGTCTCATTTCACATGTGCTTGCGTCTGCTGCATGAAAATTTTATTTTAGATTCATATTAATCTTCTGCTGCTGTCTGCAATTTGATCTTAAGCTGAGTATTAAAGGAGTCAGGGAACATTTTAAAAGATGTACAGTTCTTGAATATACTGAACAGCAGTCATTACAAATACTGATGAGACATTCTTATGAAATAAAATCATAATTGATATTCTCTCATGAGTTCTCAGAAATCGGGTTCCTCTGAAGTACAAGGTACTTTGACATCATGACATCTAATGACAGATGATGGTAGTCCTATTTCTGAGATGGTTTTGAAAAACTCTCTTGTTTAGTTCGGTGGATTTTATCCTAAGGTAATTTGTGAAGGAAGGGACTGAAACATACAAAGCAATTTTCTCCAAGTTGTTCATGATTCTCCCTGCTTCTTTTTCTCTCATTGTTTCCATTCTTTTATTTCTTTTATTCTACACCATCTTTTTTCAAGTTCTCTCTTCTTCCCAAGCAACTTTGTTATGTAAACCCATATTTAAGCTTTAAGTCAACACTCTGAAAGTGAAGGCACTTGATATTATATATTGCTAACTAACAACTTCAAGTTAATTCACTGATAAAATACACTCATTCCCAAATTGGAAAAACAATATTTTTTTTGAGAATTAGGACAAATAAAATGAAATTCTTGGAGGAACCAATGATTTATGATCCTTTTTAGACATTTCTTGGTTTTATTTTGATATCTTGTTGTTTGCTAATTTTGTCATATTGGTATAGACACTGAAACTCAGAAAAACTTTTACTAAAATAACTGCCTGGTCATGATTATGAAGAAGTTGAAATAGAACAAAGAGAGGAATTGGCTAAAAGAAAAGAGAAGCTTACTTAAACTCAGTCAGCATAACATTTAAGATGGTATATTTTTACATTATTATAAAATTTAAAATTTATGTTAAAATATACATTTTCACACTCATGACTGAAAATAGAGAGATTGCGGAACATGTAGAAAGGGAGAAAATAAAGAAATGTCTTCATTCTAATGGAGAAAAGCTGCCGGAGCACTTGGGCCTTTCTTAAGCAGAACTCTGCTGTAATCAAGGTTTGTTTTAATTCATCCTATGACTTTCTGCAACCCTCCACACCTGGTATCCTCATCTCACCTCTTGGATTTCCAAGTGCTTACTTTGAAAGATCAGAGCTCTCCCCTTTTTTCTTACCATTAGAATTTGGCCACTTATACTTATTTTTGGGGTTCTGGATTTTGATTAGTTGAAAACAGATGGTGTCTGAGTCAGGGCATAGCGTACTGGGAAAAGAAATTTAGCATAGACTATAGTATTAGAATATGGTAAGGGAAATTTTCAAAATTCTAACTGAGTTGGCTTGAAGACTTCTTGTTTCTGCTTCTCTCTACCTTTTCCACATCTGTTAACCCCTCACCAAAGCATTCAGTTGTCTTTTTTATTTTTCCCTCGTCTCTCTTATTGTTAACTGGCTTCATCACTGCACAATTTTTCAGGAAAATACCTTGATTGACCCTACTCTTTTTTTTTTTTAATGCTAGGCCATTATTGCCAGGCTGATCAACCTCTCTTTCCTGAAGTGTCTACCCACTTTCCAAAAAATGTGGCTGTAGATGACAAGAACCCTGAGGATCAGGGACTGTTGGCAAGGCAAGATTTCCTTTGAAGAGGCTGTGGGCAGGGAGGCAAGGCTTGTATCTGGAACAGATGTTTTGGGACATTCATGAGTCTTGAAGCTCTTCAGACTTCCAGGCTGCCCTGCTGAGTGACTGGTGAGTTTGGCAGCACATTTTGCTTCTTTTAGCTAATCCAGTGGGTTTGGAAGACACAGAGGGATTCTGAGAATGCTTTCCTCAGCATGAGTTGCATGCTGTAAATTTCACTTGAGAATGCTCCCTCTCCTGAAGTGATGATTATATTCTGACCAAATCCGGAAACAACTCTACTTCCTACATGAACTAAGTGAACCCTGACGGGCACACATGCCTCTAAATGTGTTCTATTGATTATATAACTTATCTTAAGAGATAGGTCAGTTCAGGCACAGTCTCTGTCACACATTTCCTCTCACTATTGGTGACCAATAGACTTACTCACATGTGAGTTGATATAAGTAAACCTTGATAAGAAAGAAATTCCGTCCCCTGCTTAAGGATCTGCGCGAAAATAGACAAGGATAAGGGGAAGGAGGTCAGTTGTCCCTTCCAAGGCGCAGAGCTTTAATCTGAAAAGCCCCAAGCCGCTGATTGCCCAGGGTTGCAAAGACCTAGTCACTTTGGTCGTCTGCCTCTTTCTGTTTGCGCGCAGGCGCTACTCTGTCTCTCTCTTACACACACACACACACACACACACACAGTCACTTGCCTTTTTATTCATGAAACTTGTTTGCTATTGTCAAACCTGAATTTCTTATGTGCTCCTAGCATAAAGCGTAATTTTCGGGGGTGTTGAATCAGTCTCACGCTTTTCCCCATCTGTATCATCGTTCAAACAGGCGTTCAGACAGTGTATCCATGAGTTTTAGGGTATTTGTTTCGTTTGGACGAACTCACTAGCTTAAGCTCTGTGTGTGTGTGTGCGTGTGTCCGTCCCTTACCCTATCTTCTCTAGTACACACATATGCCAAGTCTCCCTCGCAACAAGTCCAAATAAATGTCTCCAAGGGCTGTTGAGTTCAATGTCACGCTGGGCAGAAGTGGAGCAAGAGTGGAGGAGAGTGAGTGGCATGCGGGAGGGGAGAGACCCTTTCCGGCCAGCAGAGGGCAGCCGAGGGGAGGCGCTGGCGCGTGAGGGCTGAGCTGAGCCTTGCCTCGCCCCGCTCCAGCAGCCTCAGCATCAGCACCAGGCGCGGCGGAGCCCGGAGCGCAGCCACTGAGGGCAGCGGCGGCGGCGGGAGCCAGGCGCGCAGCGAGCAGCGGCGCGGGCGGGAAGCAGTAGCCGCCGCCGCCGCCGCCGCCGCCGCGACGGGCAGCCGAGTTTACCGGCAGCCGGCTTGGGCCCCTGCCCCTCGGCTTCGTGCCTCGGGCGCCGGGCGGCCGGCGAGTCTGGAGTCCGCGCAGTCTCCTGCCGCGTCCTCCGGGCATGGAAGGAGGCGGCAAGCCCAACTCCTCGTCTAACAGCCGGGACGATGGCAACAGCGTCTTCCCCTCCAAGGCGCCCGCGACGGGCGCGGGGCCCGCCGTGGCCGACAAGCGCCTGGCCACCCCGCCTGGGGGTGGAGGGGCCGGCTCGAAGGAGCACGGCAACTCCGTGTGCTTCAAGGTGGACGGCGGCGGCGGAGGCGAGGAGCCGGCGGGGAGCTTCGAGGACGCCGAGGGACCTCGTCGGCAGTATGGCTTCATGCAGAGGCAGTTCACCTCCATGCTGCAGCCTGGGGTCAACAAATTCTCCCTCCGAATGTTTGGCAGCCAGAAGGCGGTGGAGAAGGAGCAGGAAAGGGTTAAAACTGCAGGCTTCTGGATTATCCACCCTTACAGTGATTTCAGGTGAGGGCTCCCAGCCGCCGCCCCACCCTCCTTTCCAGGCGCGCTCTCCAACACCCTTCTCTGTTCTTGGGAGGGGGGCACCCCAGGGACTCAAAGTCTGGGGGTGTTGGGCAGGAGGTGAGTAGCCCTGGCGGCTGCTACTTGGGCAGACAAGGCTCTACTCTTCTCCAACTAGTTTCCACCCAGTAGGGGTTTGAATGGTGAGATCCTGTTGCCAGCAAGCCCCGGGGAAACTGTTCTCTGTTTTGTGAACTTTGGGGACAGATCTTGGAATGGTGAAGGCCATGGTGATCCCGAGAAGGAAGGATGCTAAGTTGTACCAAGGAAACTTTTACTTCAGTGATGGGAGGAAGAGGGCAGACACCCTTCCTAGTGTCTCTCCCTCAAGATATCCGTCCTTCCCCAAAAGGAGAAGTGCTGCTCTAGGGTTCAGGAGAGGGTGGGATAGCTGGAGACGGTAACTCACAGGTCCTTGGGGACCTCTCGCCCCTGAGGAGTGTTAATCTGTTGTTCTTATGCTTATTCGCACCGGGTATCCTCATCGCATTTCTTCAGAATAGTGGCTGGCAGGCGGAGGAAGGGTAATTTGCGCTTGGATAGGCGCTGACTTGACGTTTCAGTGGAGTGGGAACTGCCAGGCTGGGCAGGAGCTGACAGGAAGCCTGGAGTTCCTGAAACAGAGACAGGGGGCGTTTCCAGAGCCCCCTTCCTGAAATAGAGCTACACCCTTTCTTGACCTTGACTATGAGTCTATTTCAGAAATCTCTTTCTTGTTTCCCAGCTCGGGAGGAAGGGCAACAGAGCTGTTAGCAGGAGAACTCTGCTTCGGAGTATGAAAATTAAGACGTTTCCTGATCTCATTCATTGCCCAAATATTCATTCGGTTACAAGCATGTTTATAGATTGTCAAATGAAGGTCGTGAAGAAGATCCTATTAGCGTACACATATCGTGCTGTCACGTTATATTAGCTCCTGAACAGGGCAGGGCTTTCCTTTTGAAAATCAAAAAGTAGTAACTCTGGATGGTATTTATTTATTTATTTAACTGAACTCTTTTGAAAAAGAGAAATGAATTAACTAAAGGAGTTTGAAAGCATACCGAGCAGTTTTAATAGACTTCTTTTAAACAGCAAACAAATATAGCATAAAATGCAGCATTATTTTGAATTGTGTTTAGAAACTAAGGGAAATTGCAATCAACAGTATGCTTTAATGGGAGCTGTCCATAGTTCTGAATGACATTAGCTGTTTGGAAAACCCATAGTCCCGCCAAACAAAGCCTTAAAACGACTGTCTTTGCGTTCCCTGAGATATTTATCCGTCCCAGAAATCAGTAGCCTCAGTCATTTATACATAGAGGAAATGTATTTTACAAAAGGTTCAATTTTAAGGTACTTATTTGCAAAATACAGTGCAAAGTCTAAAGGAAAATTTATAAAAGCTAATGACATCTGTGGTCCATAGATCACAAAGAGTTTGGTTGAGAGAATATTCATACTGAAAGGACCTAATAAATAATCAAACATGTTTCCTCGATTAGGAAGATACTTAAAGCAGCAAACCTATAAATGACCTTGATTTAAGACAAATTAGATTGTCATGCTATTTAGAATTTCAAAGCTTGGAATCAAGAGTAGAATACTGTCTCTTCTTTAATTCCCCATAGAAAGATCTTGCAACTCATATTACATTTTTTAAAAAAAAATGGAAACATACTTCAGTATTAAAAACAAAAATGAAAGTGGTTTATTTTCAGAAATATGTGACATTCAACAGTAACATGCAAATAAAATGCTAAGCTTTGTTTATTTAATTTTACACTCCTTTGAATGATTATATGTGATAATTTTATTTCTTCAGCAATGTGAAAAGCACAACACTTTTAAAGTGATAGCATATATCAAACAATAAAACTTTTTTTCCTACTTACTAGATACAAACATAAGGCCATCTTTCAGGAATTAGAATAATGTGCCAAATTCCTTTGAATGAATGAAGTAAAGAGATTCTCTCACATTTTTCCAAGAAGGTCTTGAGAGAAAAAAAAAATCTCTAAAAATAAACATTGTTGCTGAACACAGGAAGAATTTGACATCTTGTGATGTATTTCAAAGAAATAGAAAATCACTAAAAAGTGAGCTAATACACTAAATAAACTCCAATGTAGAGTAGTATAGAATATTTGATTTTCCCTTGTGTAAATGGAAAAAAAGAAAATGGCAGACATAAATATTCATTATTATTTAGGTTTTTAAAAGTATAAGATATCTTAAAAATAAAATCTAAAATTCATAATTACAACATACACTGGTTTTCTAAAAGAGCAGAAGTAATCATATGCTTATTTGCATTCAGAAGACATTTACATATTGTTATTATTTTATTGTTTTTGTATGATTTCAATACCAGCATAAACTTTGACATGTCAGCATAATGTAGCGAACAAAGCAAAAGTCTGAAAGATAAAATTGGAGCAGTAATATTTTTCTGTAGGAAAAGCAATGTGTGAATAATATTCAGCAGATACTCCAAATTTGTGGTCATGATTTGTTCACCTCAGTTTTCCCTAAAGAAAATGCTTGAAGGAAGAGGAATTGCTGTAATTCCTAAAATGCTAAATTTAATTATTTAGCAACTGAGTGACACACAAGAATAGATTTCCATGCGGGGGGGGGGGGTTTATTTTGAAAATAAAGATTTCTAGACTATTTTTTCCTTGACACTTTCATCAGCCTCTGAATGACCAGGGAAGTTTGCTGAGTGTGTTTATTGCTCACCCCCACAAGCAAAGTGTAGCATGACCCTGCACTCTAGGTCATGTCATGACTTAATACTTTTGCTAATGTTCCAGTTTCCCTTCTCAGGAAGACTTCTAAGGCTGGTTCCTTTCCACTTCCCTCTAGGGGCAGGGCTGTGCTCCTGCTGAGACTCCCAGAGAGCTAGTTAGTGCCTCTTTCACCCACCAGAGCCCAAGAGTGCTATTGCTGTGTCTGGCAGGTAGTTTTCTTCAACCTCCGGTGTAAGTAGGGCAGAGACACTGTATTTCCCTTCTTTCTCTGGAGAGGATGATGTTAGAAACCCTCAGGGAGTAAAGAAGAGCCCCAAAATATTGATACTGTAACAAATAACTGAGGGGAAGCTAGAGAATTTAGTGGAAAAAAAATCTTGTTTTTGTTTTTACTACAAAATGTAAGCAACCAGACAAGGGAAGATATAAATAGGTACTTCAAAAAAATGTTTTTGCAGAGATCTTATGTATTGAGGGCATGCTCTCAGTCTTATGTGAACCACACATACATAGTTGATTTCAAGATTAAATATAGGTCTTTACAATTTCTATTAGAGATTATATATTTATTACAATTTTACATTTTATTTATTTAATGGAAATGACACTGGTCAATTACTGTGCTTTCACAGCCAACTGATAGTTATGAGATAATTATTCAAATGAAAGAATATTTAGAATCCTTTTGTGGATGACTTGTGCATGTGAGTATGTGCACTGTGCTCATGCGCAGTGCTGGGGATCGAATACATGCATGGGAGGACCTCATGCATGGGAGACAAGTAATTTTTATTATGCCAGCAATTTACCTTGGAAAAATTTATTATAAGAGGGCTTGCTGTTTTAGGGATTTTGATGTTATATTTTTGGATTATGTTTACACAGAGGGCTCTTTTAGAAATAATACTTCTACTCTATATAGATACCAGCTGACATTTTGCCCCTCATAATGCAAGAGATTTTGTGTTTTGACTTTTTATTTCCTCTGCTGCTTTTCATCATTATTGTGAATAACTGTGAAAAGCTTACTGTGCCGGTAAGTATTCAGAGACTATGGAGGCGAGAGATGGGGGTCACTTCCTGAAGCTATTGTACTTCTGGCCTTCCATCTCTGCCCTGGAGTGCATCCATCTGTACTAATGTTAGTGGTCACTGACGTGTTCACTAGGGAAAGTAGGTTTCACCCGTATTCTACCCATACAGAGAGACCAATTGCTTCTGGGAGCTTCTCACAAGAAAACAATTCAACCTACTGGGGTTTAAAGTCTAATTAGCCTACTGTTATATTATCTTTAGACTGAAACTGTCTGCATTATCCCAGCAATGCATCTTGTGTTTTCCAAATCAACAGAGTCAAATAAACCATAAGGCTTTACTTACTTGTTTGCACATTCCATTAATATTTTTATAGTTTAAGTTTTTCTTAGTGTCTTTAGCATCTATGAAACTCAATTAAAGTGAAATAATTTAAAAGATTGGAAGGTATTAATTTATTGTTACCTTTTCTTAGTATACATAAATCTTAAAATTTTAGCAGATATTTCACTATTAAATTATATTTTATAAACATTACATTGATGTGATATTATTAAAATATTACAAGGTATTTTTTGGTTTATTTTTCTGAGAAAATTTCCTCTTAAACCTACTTTTGAAGTAGGTTGACATTTCTGTTAAGATATGTCCAGTCTAATTTAGGACAGAAAATCTAAATTTTCCTTCATTTCTATCATCAGAAAGTGATAAAAGTGATCTCAAAAGAAGATTTAATATTAATTATTCTGCTTAAAATCCTTAAGTTGCTTGCCATTACTAGGAAACTTCCACTGAGCCAAAAAATCCTGAATAATCACAACCTATTTATGCAACTTCATCTCATGCCACTCCCTCTCTCCTTCCATCCCTCATCCCACAAACACTGTGCTCCACCCCTCAGGTAAAATTTCAGCTCCTAGAACAAGCTGAGTTCTCTCCTGATTTTGATGAGTCATTTAACCCCATTGTTTTAAATTCTCTTTTCAGTTGTCATTACTCCATCCAACTAGTTTCGAATCACCATTTAGATTTTAGTTTTATCATATGATCACATTCATTTTATTTTCCATCTAGATCATCATTTGTAGTCTAGTGATGAATTATATTTTCTATCTAGGATTCTTGTTTCCTCAGAATTTATGATTATATGTGTATTCTTCCACTAGAATTTAAGCC